GAGACCCATAGAGATACATAGAGACCCACAGAGATACATAGAGACCCACAGAGATACATAGAGACCCACAGTGAGACATATAGACGCACAGAGACACACAGAGATACATAGAGATACATAGAGACCCATAGACCCACAGAGACACACAGAGATACATAGAGATACATAGAGACCCACAGAGATGCATAGAGACCCACAGATATACATAGAGACCTATAGAGATACATGGAGACCCATACACCCACAGAGAAACATAGAGATACATAGACCCACACAGAGATACATAGAGACCCACACAGATACATAGAGACCCACAGAGATACATAGAGACCCATAGAGATACATAGAGACCCACAGAGATACATAGAGACCCACAGAGATACATAGAGACCCATAGAGATACATAGAGACCCATAGAGATACATAGAGACCCACAGAGATACATAGAGACCCACAGAGATACATAGAGACCCACAGAGATACATAGAGACCCATAGAGATACATAGAGACCCATCGACGCACAGAGACCCACAGAGACACACAGAGATACATAGAGATACAGAGACCCCCAGAGATACATAGAGACTCATAGAGACCCATAGACCCACACAGAGATACATAGAGATACATAGAGGTACATTGAGACCCACAGAGATACATAGAGACCCACAGAGATACATAGAGACCCACAGAGACACACAGAGATACATAGAGATACATAGAGACCCACAGAGATACATAGAGACCCACAGAGATACACAGAGACCCATAGAGATACATATAGACCCACAGAGATACGTAGAGACCCACAGAGATACATAGAGACCCACAGAGATACATAGAGACCCACAGAGACACACAGAGATACATAGAGATACATAGAGACCCACAGAGATGCATAGAGACCCACAGAGATACACAGAGACCCATAAATATACATATAGACCCACAGATATACATAGAGACCCACAGAGATACGTAGAGACCCACAGAGATACATAGAGACCCACAGAGATACATAGAGACCCACAGAGATACATAGAGACCCACAGAGACACACACATACATAGAGATACATAGAGACCCACAGAGATACATAGAGACCCACAGAGACACACACATACATAGAGATACATAGAGACCCACATAGATACATAGAGACCCACAGAGATACACAGAGATCCATAGAGACGCAGCTGGGCAGTTGGAGGCAGTCGCCCTCCAACAACAACGGAGGGCAGAGGAGCGACGCTCACAACAACGAGCGGAGCGCCGGGTGACTAAAACGCAGCGAGTTGGCACAGTAGGGGACACAGGTGGTGCATCTACCGGTCATCTCTGTCAACCCATGGCACCTGCTGGGTCTGTCACGTGACCTCCTCGTGCACCTAGCCTGGCACAGCAGTACAACTCATGGCACCTGCTGGGTCTGTCACGTGGCCTCCTCCTGCACCTAGCCTGGCACAGGCGCCGTGCTGACGTCACCGTCACTGAGTGACGTGCCTCCTACCGGACGTCTTTCGTGGTGAGCTTCACAGCTCAACGGAATCAACATTCTCATTCCGATTGTGAAATACACACTCCGAAGCTTATTCTTATCGAGTGTATAGAATACAACAGCGTTTTCCTATCGGTGCTACAATATACAAAACGATCTTCCGCATTCCAACATAGACTACAAAATCCAACACCGATTCCTATCAAGTCTATGAAGTCAAATGATTGGGCCTATACGCTCTATGAAATCCAACGCCTATTATCTTGTTTATGAAATCAAACGCACATTCCTATCCGGTTTATGTTATTCGAATGTCTATTCCTATACAGTGTATGGATTTACAACGCTGTTGCCCATCCGGCTTATGAAATCTACCGGCTATCCCTATCCGGCCTATGAAATCACACACTCTTTCTTAATAGATCTACGCAATTAAATGCCGCCTCGCCCGCTCATACCTGTCCGCGATGGGAAATACAATGTGGGGGTGGTGCCCGCCCTCGCCGCGCATGCGCAGTTTGTAGATCCGCCTAGGCCGCCCTAATCGAGGCCTCTGAAACCGCGGGGTGAGTCGATAAGTCCTCGCTGAGGGGGGCCCCTCGCTCGCTTAGGGGGGCCCCTCGCTCGCTTAGGGGGGCCCCTCGCTCGCTTAGGGGGGCCCCTCGCTCGCTTAGGGGGGCCCCTCGCTCGCTTAGGGGGGCCCCTCGCTCGCTTAGGGGGGGCCCCTCGCTCGCTTAGGGGGGCCCCTCGCTCGCTTAGGGGGGCCCCTCGCTCGCTTAGGGGGGCCCCCTCGCTCGCTTAGGGGGGCCCCTCGCTCGCTTAGGGGGGCCCCTCGCTCGCTTAGGGGGGCCCCTCGCTCGCTTAGGGGGGGCCCCTCGCTCGCTTAGGGGGGCCCCTCGCTCGCTTAGGGGGGCCCCTCGCTCGCTTAGGGGGGCCCCTCGCTCGCTTAGGGGGGGCCCCTCGCTCGCTTAGGGGGGCCCCTCGCTCGCTTAGGGGGGCCCCTCGCTCGCTTAGGGGGGCCCCTCGCTCGCTTAGGGGGGCCCCTCGCTCGCTTAGGGGGGCCCCTCGCTCGCTTAGGGGGGCCCCTCGCTCGCTTAGGGGGGGCCCCTCGCTCGCTTAGGGGGGCCCCTCGCTCGCTTAGGGGGGCCCCTCGCTCGCTTAGGGGGGCCCCTCGCTCGCTTAGGGGGGCCCCCTCGCTCGCTTAGGGGGGCCCCTCGCTCGCTTAGGGGGGGCCCCTCGCTCGCTTAGGGGGGGCCCCTCGCTCGCTTAGGGGGGGCCCCTCGCTCGCTTGGGGGGGCCCCTCGCTCGCTTGGGGGGGCCCCTCGCTCGCTTGGGGGGGCCCCTCGCTCGCTTGGGGGGGCCCCTCGCTCGCTTGGGGGGGCCCCTCGCTCGCTTGGGGGGGCCCCTCGCTCGCTTGGGGGGGCCCCTCGCTCGCTTGGGGGGGCCCCTCGCTCGCTTGGGGGGGCCCCTCGCTCGCTTGGGGGGGCCCCTCGCTCGCTTGGGGGGCCCCTCGCTCGCTTGGGGGGGGCCCCTCGCTCGCTTGGGGGGGCCCCTCGCTCGCTTGGGGGGGCCCCTCGCTCGCTTGGGGGGGCCCCCTCGCTCGCTTGGGGGGGCCCCTCGCTCGCTTGGGGGGGCCCCTCGCTCGCTTGGGGGGGCCCCTCGCTCGCTTGGGGGGGCCCCTCGCTCGCTTGGGGGGGCCCCTCGCTCGCTTGGGGGGGGGGCCCCTCGCTCGCTTGGGGGGGCCCCTCGCTCGCTTGGGGGGGCCCCTCGCTCGCTTGGGGGGGCCCCTCGCTCGCTTGGGGGGGCCCCTCGCTCGCTTGGGGGGGGCCCCTCGCTCGCTTGGGGGGGCCCCTCGCTCGCTTGGGGGGGCCCCTCGCTCGCTTGGGGGGGCCCCTCGCTCGCTTGGGGGGGCCCCTCGCTCGCTTGGGGGGGCCCCTCGCTCGCTTGGGGGGGCCCTCGCTCGCTTGGGGGGGCCCCTCGCTCGCTTGGGGGGGCCCCTCGCTCGCTTGGGGGGGCCCCTCGCTCGCTTGGGGGGGCCCCTCGCTCGCTTGGGGGGGCCCCTCGCTCGCTTGGGGGGGCCCCTCGCTCGCTTGGGGGGGGCCCCTCGCTCGCTTGGGGGGGCCCCTCGCTCGCTTGGGGGGGGCCCCTCGCTCGCTTGGGGGGGCCCCTCGCTCGCTTGGGGGGGCCCCTCGCTCGCTTGGGGGGGCCCCTCGCTCGCTTGGGGGGGGCCCCTCGCTCGCTTGGGGGGGGCCCCTCGCTCGCTTGGGGGGGGCCCCTCGCTCGCTTGGGGGGGCCCCTCGCTCGCTTGGGGGGGCCCCTCGCTCGCTTGGGGGGGCCCCTCGCTCGCTTGGGGGGGGCCCCTCGCTCGCTTGGGGGGGCCCCTCGCTCGCTTGGGGGGGCCCCTCGCTCGCTTGGGGGGGCCCCTCGCTCGCTTGGGGGGGCCCCTCGCTCGCTTGGGGGGGCCCCTCGCTCGCTTGGGGGGGCCCCTCGCTCGCTTGGGGGGGCCCCTCGCTCGCTTGGGGGGGCCCCTCGCTCGCTTGGGGGGGCCCCTCGCTCGCTTGGGGGGGCCCCTCGCTCGCTTGGGGGGGCCCCTCGCTCGCTTGGGGGGGCCCCTCGCTCGCTTGGGGGGGCCCCTCGCTCGCTTGGGGGGGCCCCTCGCTCGCTTGGGGGGGGCCCCTCGCTCGCTGGGGGGGGGCCCTCGCTCGCTGGGGGGGGGCCCCTCGCTCGCTTGGGGGGGGCCCCTCGCTCGCTTGGGGGGGGCCCTCGCTCGCTTGGGGGGGGGCCCTCGCTCGCTTGGGGGGGGGGCCCTCGCTCGCTTGGGGGGGGGCCCTCGCTCGCTTGGGGGGGGGGCCCCTCGCTCGCTTGGGGGGGGGGCCCTCGCTCGCTTGGGGGGGGCCCTCGCTCGCTTGGGGGGGGCCCTCGCTCGCTTGGGGGGGGCCCCTCGCTCGCTTGGGGGGGCCCCTCGCTCGCTTGGGGGGGCCCCTCGCTCGCAGGGGGGGGGCCCTCGCTCGCTGGGGGGGGGCCCTCGCTCGCTTGGGGGGGGCCCCTCGCTCGCTTGGGGGGGGCCCCTCGCTCGCTTGGGGGGGGGCCCTCGCTCGCTTGGGGGGGGGCCCCTCGCTCGCTTGGGGGGGGGGCCCTCGCTCGCTTGGGGGGGGGCCCCTCGCTCGCTTGGGGGGGGGGGCCCTCGCTCGCTTGGGGGGGGGGCCCTCGCTCGCTTGGGGGGGGGCCCTCGCTCGCTTGGGGGGGCCCCTCGCTCGCTTGGGGGGGCCGCTCGCTTGGGGGGGCCCGCTCGCTTGGGGGGGCCGCTCGCTTGGGGGGGCCCCTCGCTCGCTTGGGGGGGGCCCCTCGCTCGCTTGGGGGGGGGGCCCTCGCTCGCTTGGGGGGGCCCCTCGCTCGCTGTTTACTCTCCCGTGTGTTTATTAATGTTGTAGTTGTTTTCTCTCCCGTGTGATTATTAATGTTGTTGTTTATTTGTTTGCCTGTGGGATGTCCGCGAGGCAGGCCCCCCCACCCCCCCCCCCTCCGTCACCACAGCCGGCAACGCGCACCCGCCATGCTGATCACGGTGTTTTCCGTCGGAGCGGACCTAGGGGAGGCGACGTTCACGCTGGACGTTGGCGGCGACCTGCAGCTTGATGACTTCAAGGCGCTGTGCGAGGCCGAGAGCGGAATCCCCAGCAGTCGCATGCAGGTGTTGGCCGGAGGGGGGGGTGGGTCAGGGTCTATCCACTGCTGTGTGGGGGTCTCTGTGTGTGTGGTGGGTCTCTGTGTGTGGTGAGTCTGTGTGGTGAGTCTGTGGGTCTCTGTGTGTGTGGTGGGTCTCTGTGTGTGGTGAGTCTGTGGGTCTCTGTGTGGTGAGTCTGTGTGGTGAGTTTGTGTGGTAAGTCTGTGTGGTGAGTCTGTGTGGTGAGTCTGTGGGTCTCTGCGTGGTGATGAGTCTGTGGGTGTCTGTGTGGTGAGTTTGTGTGGTAAGTCTGTGTGGTGAGTCTGTGTGTCTCTGTGTGTGGTGAGTCTGTGTTGTGAGTCTGTGGAGCTCTGTGTGTGGTGAGTCTGTGGGTGTCTGTGTGGTGAGTCTGTGTGGTGAGTCTGTGGGTCTCTGTGTGTGGTGGGTCTCTGTGTGGTGAGTCTGTGTGTCTCTGTGTGTGGTGAGTCTGTGTTGTGAGTCTGTGGAGCTCTGTGTGTGGTGAGTCTGTGGGTGTCTGTGTGGTGAGTCTGTGTGGTGAGTCTGTGGGTCTCTGTGTGTGGTGGGTCTCTGTGTGGTGAGTCTGTGTGGTGAGTCTGTGGGTCTCTGTGTGGTGAGTGTGTGGGTCTCTGTGTGGTGAGTCTGTGTGGTGAGTCTGTGGGTGTCTGTGTGGTGAGTCTGTGGGTCTCTGAGTGGTGAGTCTGTGGGTCTCTGTGTGGTGGGTCTGTGGGTGAATGTGTGGTGAGTCTGTGGGTCTCTGTGTGTGGTGAGTCTGTGGGTCTCTGTGTGGTGAGTCTGTGTGGTGAGTCTGTGGGTCTCTGTGTGGTGAGTCTGTGGGTCTCTGTGTGGTGAGTCTGTGGGTCTCTGTGTGTGGTGAGTCTGTGGGTGTCTGTGTGGTGAGTCTGTGGGTCTCTGTGTGTGGTGAGTCTGTGGGTCTCTGTGTGGTGCGTCTGTGGGTCTCTGTGTGGTGAGTCTGTGGGTCTCTGTGTGGTGAGTCTGTGGGTCTCTGTGTGGTGGGTCTGTGGGTCTCTGTGTGGTGAGTCTGTGGGTCTCTGTGTGTGGTGAGTCTGTGTGTCTCTGTGTGGTGAGTCTGTGGGTCTCTGTGTGGTGAGTCTGTGTGGTGAGTCTGTGGGTCTCTGTGTGGTGAGTCTGTGGGTGTCTGTGTGTGGTGAGTCTGTGGGTGTCTGTGTGGTGAGTCTGTGGGTCTCTGAGTGGTGAGTCTGTGGGTCTCTGTGTGGTGGGTCTGTGGGTGAATGTGTGGTGAGTCTGTGGGTCTCTGTGTGTGGTGAGTCTGTGGGTCTCTGTGTGGTGAGTCTGTGTGGTGAGTCTGTGGGTCTCTGTGTGGTGAGTCTGTGGGTGTCTGTGTGTGGTGAGTCTGTGGGTGTCTGTGTGTGGTGAGTCTGTGGGTGTCTGTGTGGTGAGTCTGTGGGTCTCTGTGTGGTGAGTCTGTGGGTGTCTGTGTGGTGAGTCTGTGGGTCTCTGTGTGGTGAGTCTATGGGTCTCTGTGTGGTGAGTCTGTGTGGTGAGTCTGTGGGTGTCTGTGTGGTGAGTCTGTGAGTGTCTGTGTGGTGAGTCTATGGGTGTCTGTGTGGTGAGTCTGTGGGTCTCTTTGTGGTGAGTCTGTGTGGTGAGTCTGTGGGTGTCTGTGTGGTGAGTCTGTGGGTCTCTGAGTGGTGAGTCTGTGGGTCTCTGTGTGGTGAGTCTGTGGGTCTCTGTGTGGTGAGTCTGTGGGTCTCTGTGTGGTGGGTCTGTGGGTGAATGTGTGGTGAGTCTGTGGGTCTCTGTGTGGTGAGTCTGTGGGTCTCTGTGTGGTGGGTCTCTGTGTGGTCAGTCTGTGGGTCTCTGTGTGGTGAGTCTGGGTCTCTGTGTGGTGAGTCTGTGGGTCTCTGTGTAGTGAGTCTGTGGGTCTGTGTGGTGAGTCTGTGGCTGTCTGTGTGGTGAGTCTGTGGGTCTCTGTGTGGTGGGTCTCTGTGTGGTGAGTCTGTGGGTCTCTGTGTGGTGAGTCTGTGGGTCTCTGTGTGGTGAGTCTGTGGGTCTCTATGTGGTGAGTCTGTGGGTCTCTGTGTGGTGGGTCTCTGTGTGGTGAGTCTGTGGGTCTCTGTGTGGTGAGTCTGTGGGTCTCTATGTGGTGAGTCTGTGGGTCTCTGTGTGGTGGGTCTGTGGGTCTCTGTGTGTGTGGTGGGTCTGTGTGGTGAGTCTGTGGGTGTCTGTGTGGTGAGTCTGTGGGTGTCTGTGTGGTGAGTCTGTGGGTCTCTGTGTGGTGAGTCTGTGGGTCTCTGTGTGGTGAGTCTGTGGGTCTCTGTGTGGTGAGTCTGTGGGTCTCTGTGTGGTGAGTCTGTGGGTCTCTGTGTGGTGAGTCTATGGGTCTCTGTGTGGTGAGTCTGTGTGGTGAGTCTGTGTGGTGAGTCTGTGGGTCTCTGTGTGGTGAGTGTGTGGGTCTCTGTGTGGTGAGTCTGTGTGGTGAGTCTGTGGCTGTCTGTGTGGTGAGTCTGTGGGTCTCTGTGTGGTGAGTCTGTGGGTCTCTATGTGGTGAATCTGTGGGTCTCTGTGTGGTGGGTCTCTGTGTGGTCAGTCTGTGGGTCTCTGTGTGGTGAGTCTGTGGATCTCTGTGTGGTGAGTCTGTGGGTCTCTGTGTGGTGAGTCTGTGGGTCTCTGTGTGGTGGGTCTGTGGGTCTCTGTGTGGTGAGTCTGTGGGTCTCTGTGTGGTGAGTCTGTGGGTCTCTGTGTGGTGAGGCTGTGGGTCTCTGTGTGGTGAGTCTATGGGTCTCTGTGTGGTGAGTCTGTGGGTCTCTGTGTGGTGAGTCTGTGGGTCTCTGTGTGGTGAGTCTGTGGGTGTCTGTGTGGTGGGTCTGTGGGTCTCTGCGTGGTGAGTCTGTGGGTCTCTGTGTGGTGAGTCTATGGGGTTCTCTGTGTGGTGAGTTGTGGGTCTCTGTGTGGTGAGTCTGTGGGTCTCTGTGTGGTGAGTCTGTGGGTCTCTGTGTGGTGAGTCTATGGGTCTCTGTGTGGTGAGTCTGTGTGTCTCTGTGTGGTGAGTCTGTGGGTCTCTGTGTGTGGGTCTCTGTGTGGTGAGTCTGTGGGTCTCTATGTGTGGTGAGTCTGTGGGTCTCTGTGTGTGGTGAGTCTGTGGGTCTCTGTGTCGTGAGTCTGTGGGTCTCTGTGTGTGGTGAGTCTGTGGGTCTCTGTGTGGTGAGTCTGTGGGTCTCTGTGCGGTGAGTCTGTGGGTCTCTGTGTGGTGAGTCTGTGGGTCTCCGTGTGGTGAGTCTGTGGGTCTCCGTGTGGTGGGTCTCTGTGTGGTGAGTCTGTGGGTCTCTGTGTGGTGAGTCTGTGGGTCTCTGTGTGGTGAGTCTGTGGGTGTCTGTGTGGTGAGTCTGTGGCTGTCTGTGTGGTGAGTCTGTGGGTCTCTGTGTGGTGAGTCTGTGGGTCTCTGTGTGGTGAGTCTGTGGGTCTCTGTGTGGTGAGTCTGTGGGTCTCTGTGTGGTGAGTCTATGGGTCTCTGTGTGAGTGAGTCTGTGGGTCTCTGTGTGGGGAGTCTGTGGGTCTCTGTGTGGTGAGTCTGTGGGTCTCTGTGTGGTGAGTCTGTGTGGTGAGTCTGTGGGTCTCTGTGTGATGAGTCTGTGGGTCTCTGTGTGATGAGTCTGTGTGTCTCTGTGTGTGGTGAGTCTGTGTGTCTCTGTGTGGTGAGTCTGTGGGTGTCTGTGTGAGTGAGTCTGTGGGTCTCTGTGTGTGGTGAGTCCGTGGGTCTCTGTGTGGTGAGTTTGTGGGTCTCTGTGTGTGGTGGGTCTCTGTGTGTGGTGAGTCTGTGTGGTGAGTCTGTGGGTCTCTGTGTGTGGTGAGTCTGTGTGGTGAGTCTGTGGGTGTCTGTGTGGTGAGTCTGTGGGTCTCTGTGTGTGGTGAGTCTGTGTGGTGAGTCTGTGGGTGTCTGTGTGGTGAGTCTGTGGGTCTCTGTGTGGTGAGTCTATGGGTCTCTGTGTGGTGAGTCTGTGTGGTGAGTCTGTGTGTCTCTGTGTGTGGTGAGTCTGTGTGGTGAGTCTGTGGGTCTCTGTGTGTGGTGAGTCTGTGTGTGAGTCTGTGGGTCTCTGTGTGGTGAGTCTGTGTGGTGAGTTTGTGTGGTAAGTCTGTGTGTCTCTGTGTGTGGTGAGTCTGTGTTGTGAGTCTGTGGAGCTCTGTGTGTGGTGAGTCTGTGGGTGTCTGTGTGGTGAGTCTGTGTGGTGAGTCTGTGTGGTGAGTCTGTGTGTCTCTGTGTGTGGTGAGTCTGTGTTGTGAGTCTGTGGATCTCTGTGTGTGGTGTGTCTGTGGGTGTCTGTGTGGTGAGTCTGTGGGTCTCTGTGTGGTGAGTCTGTGGGTGTCTGTGTGGTGAGTCTGTGGGTCTCTGTGTGGTGAGTCTGTGGGTCTCTGTGTGGTGAGTCTGTGGGTTTCTGTGTGATGAGTCTGTGGGTCTCTGTGTGGTGAGTCTGTGGGTCTCTGTGTGGTGAGTCTGTGGGTCTCTGTGTGGTGAGTCTGTGGGTCTCTGTGTGGTGGGTCTCTGTGTGGTGAGTCTGTGGGTCTCTGTGTGTGGTGAGTCTGTGTGGTGAGTCTGTGGGTCTCTGTGTGGTGAGTCTGTGGGTGTCTGTGTGGTGAGTCTGTGGGTCTCTGTGTGGTGGGTGTGTGGGTCTGTGTGTGGTGGGTCTGTGGGTCTCTGTGTGGTGAGTCTGTGTGGTGAGTCTGTGGGTCTCTGTGTGGTGAGTCTATGGGTCTCTGTGTGGTGAGTCTGTGGGTCTCTGTGTGGTGAGTCTATGGGTCTCTGTGTTGTGAGTCTGTGGGTCTCTGTGTGGTGAGTCTGTGGGTCTCTGTGTGGTGAGTCTGTGGGTCTCTGTGTGGTGAGTCTGTGGGTCTCTGTGTGGTGGGTCTGTGGGTGAATGTGTGGTGAGTCTGTGGGTGTCTGTGTGGTGAGTCTGTGGGTCTCTGTGTGGTGAGTCTGTGGGTCTCTGTGTAGTGAGTCTGTGGGTGTCTGTGTGGTGAGTCTGTGGGTC